GTTGAGCACCCTGGGTTCAATTCCTGGTACAAAAAAAAAAAAGAAAAGAAAAGAAAAACCAAATTAAACAAACGAAAACCTCCCCAAACAAAAAGGAAAAACAAAAACACCCTCTATCTTTTTCAGAAAAAATGTATCCCTTATTCATAAATCTAACTAAAGATATATGGACTACTAGGCTTATAACTCCCTTTAAATGTGACAGTGTACAAAGAAATTAGTAAACTCCATTTTTATTGCTTTTTTATATTACTACATATAAGAGGATTATGATAAGCTATCCTACAATCAAATTCAAAAATAAGTCCTTAACAGTAACCGAAACTTCCTTCTTTCTACTTCAAAGCTTCCTTTTCCCCTTCCCTTCTCCTTATACTGGGGATTGAATTTAGGGGCACTCTACCACTTAGCTACATCCCCAGCCCTTTTAAAATTTTTATTTGGAGACAGAATCTTGCTAAATTGCCCAGGCTGGCATCTAACTTGTGATCCTCCTCCAGTTTCTGGGATTACAGTCAACACACCTAGATCGACATTTCGTTAAAAGATACATAAACACTTGTAGGCTCATTTCAATCAGCAACTCCTGTGTGTTTGGTATGCATTAATTTTTCTCTAATGTATCACAATCTTTGTCCACTTTAATGATCAAATTCAGCTTTTCTTAATCTTTTTTGTTGGAAAAAAGTTATGAAATATATTGCTTTGAAAAATTCAAATACAGTGGAAGAATAGAATGAAGTCATCTCCTGAGTTCTCCCTACCATGATCCTATTCTAATAAACTATAAAGCTATTTTGATTCCTTCTAGCTATTTTTGTGCATGAATTAGCACCTACACATATCTTTGTTCCACATTTTATTGTAAGTAGGATTTATTATACCAAATATTTTATAATTATTAGTTTTCTATTTAAGTCTACAACATATTTTATTATGGGTACATGTAGATCCCAGCTTTAAAAACAGCAGTAGACAATTTTGTGTGTGTGTGAAGTATTTAAATTGTGCAGTGAGTTCAAAGGATTAGATGATCAAGGAGAAAGATGTGACCACAAGGTGGCACTAGCACACAGTTCTTTGACAGATTTGTGTGTTGAGGAAGAGGATGTGGGGCACTGGCTCCCAGCATGGAAACTTCCAAAGGCAAGTTTGTAGAGGTCATTACCCAGAAGGGGGAGAGAGGAGAATCAGAGAGGGATCTGGAGGATGGGAGACAGTGTCTAAATGATGCCACTCAGCAGCAGGTAGGGAGGCTAGGACAACCCCCCCTCCCCCTCCAGGAACAGCAATTGTATTACATTGGTATCTATGACTGGTAGATGTTAGGTGCAATTTCTCAGGTTTTTTAAAGCAGGCAGGCTCTAAATAGCTAAGAAACTACTTTTATGCTGTATTTAAAATAATTGGATGTGTACAACTTTGAGTTTGGCACTGGCAGGCTTTTGAGTTAACAGGTCCCTGCCTGCTGTGAAATACACATAGGGCCAATATACAGGGACCATCTTTAAATTCATTTATGTGACAACTAGTTCCCTATTGATAGACATTTTACAATTTCTCCCCTGTGGGGCAGGAGGAGTCACAAACAGGTCAAAAGAAAACTTACTAATTTACATCATATCTGACAAAAAGCTAATTTTATCAAAATAATCATAACTTCTAAAAATAAGTAGAATAAAATGATAAAGCAAAACAGACTTCTCCAAAATCAACCCTGAAAAACTACAGGAACAGGAAGGAAAAGATTTGGAAGTAAATTGCAATTGTGAGACACCCCGGGAAGACAGGAGGAGGGGAGTGATGGGGAGGAGGGTCTCAGTTGCAGCTTAGAAGGGTGTCCATGGCTGCTCTGGAGGATCTGAAGAGGTTGCACTTTTAGCTCTGGTCTCTAGGACTTTGAAGTGGGAAACACTGCAACCTCCCAGTGTTGTGAGGTTCCACCAAAGCTGCACAGGGGGAGGCAGCCCTAAGGGGCTGATGACAGCCGGAGCCTTATGAAGGATGCCCTTGCAGGCTCCTGCCTCCAGCTGTCCTGTCAGCAGAGGTTCTTCTGTCCCCCTGATGGTCTCTCCTCAGAAATTTAAACTTTTTGTTTTTCTTAAATTCTCCAAGAAGGATACAGATGGGTGACTCTGAGCATTTTTCCAACACACATGACAGCCAGTTTCATCAGTGAAATAAATTTGATGCTGCAGGTCCAAAGAAAATATATCCCTGAGGAGTACTACTGCTACAGAAAGGCTTTAAAAATGGATCATATGTACTATGTGAAGTAGATTGTTGGAACGGATGGACAATAATTCAAAATAAGTATAATATATATCCAGAAGAGTTAAGGTGATATTGATATCACAGCAAAGGGATGTGGGATTACTTTAAAAAACAAGAATAAACATTAAATTTTAAAATGAAACAGGTGGGTTGGGCATGGAGCTCATTGGTAGAGTGCTTGCCTAGCACAGGTGAGGCCCTGGGTTCCAGCCTCGGCACCACATAAAGATAAATAAATAAAATAAAGATATTGTGTCCATCCACAACTAAAAATACTTTTTAAAACAAAGTAGGTGAAATGAAGATGACAAATGAAGGTGAGATATTGTCAAGATGATTGTATCGAAGAAGCAAATAGTAAACCAGAAGATCTAATTATTAACCCTCACCATGGCAGCAAAAACCTAAAGAGCTGGGGAAAAAATAAAAGAGACGGAAAATGGGAAAAGAAGCACTAAAATAAAGGGAGGGTGGACTGATCACTATTCATATAATTCAAATTCTATGATGAAATTGAAAGAAGCCAGAGAGTGCCAAAGATATATAAGAAAATACCCAAACCTAAACACATTTAGTGCAACTGAAGAAGAGCTATAACAATATAAATTATTAAGTGATTCCTCAAAGAAAATTAAACCATTCTCAAAGGAACAAAAATTAAACAAAATTGAGATTTTACAATAGTGATACTGGAATCAAGAAACAAAGAAATATTGTATTTGGGTTTAAAAAAAACTTTTAACAGTTGGCCCTCTATATCCACAGATTCTGCATCTGGGGTTCAAACAACCTCAGATGGAGAATGTTAGGAAAAATAGTGTCTGTGTCGAACATGAACTTTTTCTTGTTGTTCCCTAAACAATACTATTTACATAGAATTTATATTGTATTATAAATTATAATCCCATCTACAGGATATTTAAAACATATGGAAAGATGTGGGTAGATTATATACAAATACTTTGCCATTTTATATAAGAGACTTAAGCATCCACAGATTTTGGTATCCACTTGCAAACATAAAGTATGTATAAAATGTAATGTGGAGTGTTAGGAATAATTATAAAACAAACATCAAACTAATCACCACCTAGGTTAAGAAACACTGCTGTTCGTCTATGAAAGTCTCAGTAAAAATGTAATATAATTTATTTTTATATGAATGGAATTATACTTACATATATATTCTGTATTACTTCTTTATATTATGGTTAAAAATTTATCCATGGTTTAAAATAGCTGTAATTTGTTCACTTTTTGCTATATAAAATTTACTATAATATATGTTTCAAGTCTTCTGTTAATGAACAATTAGTTTTTATTTCAGTCTGGACTGTTATGAACAGCATGGCTAAAGAGGACACTGCCATTGTGAACAATGCTGCTATCCTTGTATGTGTATTCTGAGAGGCATGTGTTGGAATTCTTCTAGGTTATATATGTGGAAATATGTATACCCTACAGACTGTACACATTTTAAATATCTAGATAATGTTGAACTGTTTTCCAATGTAGTTCAATAAGTTTGCTCTTTGAGGTCAGGAACAAAAGAATGATCACTACTATTACTATTTATAATCCTATCTTATTAAGAAAATGCTGTTCCATTCTGATTCATGAGTGTTTGTAAGATCTTAAAAAAAAAAAGGCCGGGTGCAGTGGCGCAGGCCTGTTATCCCAGCTGCTGAGGATGCTGAGACTGGAGAATGACAAGTTCAAAGCCAGCCTCAGCAAAAGTCAGGCGCTAAGTAACTCAGTGAGACCCTGCCTCTAAATAAAATAACAAAATAGGGCTGGGGATGTGGCTCAGTGGTTTAGTGTCCCTGAGTTCAATCCCCTACATCTCCCCCCAAAAAAACCCAAAAAGCTAGGCTTCAAATTTTAATGTGGAAAGATATTTGATTATGATACTACGTAAGTTTTCTACTCTTTTGTGTCGGTTTTGATAGGTTATATATTTTTCTTTTGAAACGGAATGGCATACATTTGCATATAAAATCATCTTATGTTTACTTAAATCTGAATCGATTTCTGTTGTTTCAAATTTGATCTTAGTTAATTGGGTCTCCTCTCATTCTTTTTATCTTATTTTCCTTTCTCTTCTTCCTCCTCTTTTCCTTCTATTCCTTCTCCTTCATGCCCAATCAGAATATGAACCGAGGGCAGGAACATTGACAGAATATCATCAATGCCTGGCATACAGTAGGCATTCCATAAATGTTTATTCAGTGAACTTATTGTTCTCCAAACGTTAAAACTGGGCTGGAAGGGGCCTGGAATATGAGGTAGGTTTGAGGCTTTGTGGGAATAAACCAGGAATCAGGTGGAGAAAGCTTTGCCCAAGGTAATCCAGCACAGGGAACGGCTTCCAAGGCGTCCCAGAGGCTGGACCCCTCCCAGGAGGCCGGGCATTTGCAGAGCTAGAGCGCGGGCCAACGCCTCCTGAGAGGGGTCCAGCCTCTGGGATGCGGGAGTCCACTTAATAAGGGGAACTTTCTTGAAATCCACGGCGTGAGGATGAGCGCCTGGCCACGGTCACCCACCCACCACAAGCGGCCTGCCCGGCTGGCACCGGGAAAGGCTGTTCACTCTGCTGGAATTTGAAAGTTAAGCACGGGCGGAAAAGACTAGGTCTCAGTTTCCGGGGACGTTTTAGAGGAACGCACCCGCCCTTCCTCTTCCGGTCCGTCCCCCACAGCTCCCGCGATCCCACGTGTGTTCAGGCTGGAGTATCGGCGTGTGCTGCTGCGGCTGTGGTCGGTGATTGACGGATCTGGAGTGCGGAGGCTCTCCGCGGCCTCCTGGACGTCACCATGGTGGGCCCCCTCCCAGTTTCTTGAGCCCTGTCGGTCTGTTCCCTGGAAGGCTCTGGTGTGGCGCTCGGGGCGGGGGAGGAAGCGAAGGGATTACTTAGTGTGGGGGAGCCCGGAGAGGCGTCCAGGCCCTGCGCACCGGTCAAGTCTTCATAGGCTTTCCTCGCTCTCAGCCTGGTACCCGGCTCCTTCCCGTCGCTTCCCGCTGGGGGAAATCCTGCGCCTTTGTCTTGTAGCTGCTGTGTGTTGGACACGAGTGGACCCGCCACCCCTCTTCTCTGCCCTGAGCTTAGTCGCGTCTCCTAACTTAGTCACCCTTTCCCGCCCCCGGCGCCTGCTCTTCGACCCCACTGCCGTCGCGGCCCAGAAGCTGTTTTGTTTTTATTAAAACTTCAGTAGATATAAATGAATATTCACAAAACACGATTAGGTGTAAAGGTTAACTACATAAGGAACTCTCAGTCACTCATTTTCGCGTTCCTTTCCACGGACCTACAACATTCAGGAACCCCTTAGAAGTAAGGAGCATGTAGATTTTATAATTTTATTTTTTACTTTCTTTACAGCCACTATCTGTGTTTATATTCCCAAACAGTATGTTTTCCACTTGCTGTGTTCCTGAGATTCATTCATAAATAGGAACATGTTTTAAATACATTAATAAATAAAGAACGTATACATTATCCAGTTAGTTTTTAATGAAAGAACAATTTAAAAATTTTATACTAGTGAAAAGTTATATTCTGGCCACAATGTTTTTTTTTGTCCTTTCTTTGTTCCTTCTTGCCTTTTTTCTGTCAGTCACTTTTGTCTGTCTTGTCTGTTATCCTTTTGCTTTAGATAGTGTGTATTTGTGTAAATCCAGCCTGTTTGCTAACATGTTTATCTATTTCCAATCCTTTATAATTTTTCAGAATGGAACATTAAAGCAATTACATGTCATTGTGTGGTAGCTATGAGGTTGATTAGCATTTGAATTGTTAACTTTGACAATTAGAACTTCATTTTGCCAATATATAGAAATATATTGCCTTGGCATAGACGCAAAAAAAAAAAAAAAGTGGCATATAAATATATTTTCTTTGGTATATTTCTGGCTCTGCCATTTTTCTTGATAACATCAGTGCTTCTCCTGTCAGTACCAGCTCAGAATGAGGCCTGTGCTTGACACCGGTGATTTTTCAGGAAATTATTTAACTCTGTTGAATTAGGATGGCAGTAGTTTCTACCTCATAGAAATGTTGTGAAAATAAATATAAAGTACTTAGCCCTATACTGGCACTTAGTAAATGTTAGTATTGTTATGAACTTTAGTAATAAAAGTAAATAGTAACAGCACAGCTTTTATTGTTCACTTTTGTTACTTTGTTCATTTATATTCTGACTCTTTCCTAGAGTTGTGCAAATTCATATCTTTTTTTTTTTAAGAGAGAGAGAGAATTTTTTAATATTTGTTTTTTAGTTTTCGGTGGACACAACATCTTTTTTAATTTTTATGTGGTGCTGAGGATTGAACCCAGCACCCTGCGTGTGCCAGATGAGCGTGCTACCTCTTGAGCCACATCCCCAGCCCCAAGTTCATATCTTTTGTAAGATCAAACTAATGTAACTACATGAAGAACCTTTTTCAGTTAAGCCATCCCACTCAGTGTTTCTTTATTCTGTCTAGTTTCTATGGTTTTCTTTATTCTGTTTCTAGTGGTTTTAAGTTTGGTTTGTGCAATGATGCAAAACATTCATTGATATACACTACACCTCTTTCACATAAGCTTGTTATTAAATTTAAGTGTGCTTTTAGGGTTTTTTTCCCTAGCTAGGTTATAAACCACTGAAAAGTGTGACATTATCCTCCATTGATTTATCATATTTATTCCTATAATATCTGGCCATTAAACACTAATGACTGCCTACAAATTCCTTGATAGCAGGAATTGTGTGCTGTAAGGCTCACCCCTGTGAATGTTAGCTGTAACAAAAAATCAGCTTTCTGGTGATGGAAACTTGCTCCCGAAACTTAATAAAAGTAAAAAATATTAATGAATATCAACCTTGTATACCAACCATTTTTCGAATAACATCATATGCACATGGCTTCTTAAAAAAAAAAAGTGGTTGTGAAAGTGTATTTTTTATTACTACCGTAAAGAATTCATATAGATTTATAGATTTAGTAACTTAAAACTACAGATTCATTTTCTTATATTTCTGGAGGTCTGAGGTGCAAAAATGAGTCTCACTATAATCAAAGTGTTGGCAGGTTTATTTTCCTGGCTTGTTTCATTTCCTAGAAGTTATCTACATTTTTTAGCTCCTGGCTCCTTCATTTTCAACACCACGAGCATAGTATCTACAAATCATCTTCCAGTAAAGATCCATGTCCTCTAACAGTGATCTTCCTGCCTCCTTTTTATAAGACCCTTTAGGATTTTAATGGGCTCACATGGATAATTCAGGATAATCTCCCCATCTCAAGATTCTTAATTGCATCTGCAAAGTATTGCCATGTGTAGTAATCACATTTTCCAAGGAATTCGGACATGGACATGTTTGACATGGGGATGAAGAGGCAGAGCACTATTTGCCTACCATACAAAATAAATTTTCCTCCAACTCTGTTGCCTAATACTCCAGTTGAACTGAGAAACAAGCAGTGTTATCAGCTCTTAGCTATCCATTCAGGTATTTTATATGCATATACCAGTGTGTATGTCCTCTAACCCTTTTTTTATATAAATAGTGTAATAGACACAATCCTATGCCCCTTGCTTTTTTTTTTTTTTTTTTTTTTTTGGTCTTAACTTGATTTTAGAGAGCAGTCCATGTTAGTAAATAGATGCTATGATTTGAATGTGTTCCTCAGAAGTTACTGTGTTGGAACCTAGATTGCTCTATGTGGCTGTGTTGGGGGACCTAGGTAGGAGATGTTTGGATCATGGAGCAGAGCCCTCTTTAATAGATCGATGCCTTTTTCACCCAAATGGCTTAGAAATGGGTTGGTTGTCCTTGAGTTAAGCCCCTTTTCTTTCTGGGATGTACTCTTGTTATGTATTCTCTTTCTCCTCTTCTCACTCCCATCATGCTAAGAAGCAGCAGGAGGCCCTCACCAGAAGCAGCTGTCTCATCTTGGATTTCCCATCCTCCAGTACTGTGAGCCTAAATAAGCTTTTTTTCTTTTGTAAATTTTCCATTCTCAGGTGTCCTGTTATGAGAATAGAAATTGAACTAAAGCACTTGGTTTTTAAGCAGCTACTATTCCACTGTTTGCTTTTACTGAAATTTATTTAAACTGATCCCTGATGGAACATTTAAACTGTTCCCATTCCTTTGCTGCTGTAGACACTGTAATACTGCTGCATTGATTATTATTTTTTCCATTTGTACATGTGTAAATATGTCTATAAAATAATTAATAGAAGTAGAATTCCTTGGTCAAAAACTCACTTTTGTCTTGACAAATTGCTCTCTAGAGGACTACCAGTTTATACCCCACTGGTTTGTGAGAGTCCCAGTTTAACCACATGCTCACATATGCAGAGCTAATCATTTTTTATCTTTGTCAGTCTTAATAATTCCAGTTTTTAAATGTTTTAACTTACGTTTATTTTAAATTAAACCACATGTCAATTGAAACATTTAAAAAACATTTTTTTACCCTGTTGTTTGTTTGTTTTGTTTTTTTTCTAATCTTTTTCTTTTAATCTTGCAGCTTTGTAGTTACGAATTTTAAATTTTTATGTAGTTGGAGTTGTTATGTTCTTTTAGTCTTATGGATTTTATGTAATATTTAAAAAGATCTCATTCTGAAATTTAATCTGCAATTTTTTTTTTCTAGGACTCACATTATTTCATGTTTTGTGCTTATGTATGACCTATGAGGAGCTTAGAATATGGACTGATATACCAAATTTTTAAGAAATTATATGCTTTTTACTTTATTTACATTTTTTGAGTACTTGAAATATTTAACAGTAATATGAAACATGAACTCACAGAAGATGCTCCCTCCTTCCCTTCAAAAAAAGCTCAACTAAGCTTTTGTGATATAGAGAAAGAATTGTTATCAAATGGTATTTATATTGTCTTATTTTACTACATAATATGGACTTTAAAATTTTATTTTGTTTATAATGTCTGTGTTCAGACTCTTGAATTTGGCTTTAGAAGTATTGATTATTTCCTATGGTAAAGTACATTTGGAGTTCCAAAAGTTGATTTACAACTCAAATATCCTAATGCCCAAGAAATTTGGAATTTATTTATCCAGTATGTATTTCTTGATCTAGGTTTTCAGCCTATATTTGTGTTGTAGTCCTGATGGTTGATGAATTGCTTTCAATAAGACAGTGCCTTCATCCTTGCTGTGTAATTTGATTGTCAGTGAAAAAGACAGTGCCTTTTACAGGGACTGGGACACATCTATTATTCACCTAAGTGTGTATAGGTCACCTATTACCCTGCTCATTTTCAGTGCCAGGCCAACATGACAGAAAATTGGTTTCCCCAGGAGCAATTAATTTAAATAGAAATAATCTTTTCAGACTGACTTAGACTTTCACTGCTTTGTAGGTTAACATTTTATTGAGGTTTACCTCAGTTTTTTCCTGTCAAAGCATTTTTAATTTTAATGTACTGAAAAATATGAAAATGCTTTGAAATGCAAATCTTGCGCATATTTCTTTGCCTTGTTATATATTCATATCATGCCTTGAGGAAACCTCATAAATAAATTACTATAAGGAATCCATAAACTACAATGAGTCAGAATATGTGTTTAGTTTTGTGTACTTTCTTTGTGCTAAGTCTTGGAGGTTCTTTAACTGAAAAACTTTGAGGACATTTTCATACTCAGAAGAGTATCAAACTTTTTTTCTAATGAAAGTTTTTGACTCTTCAAAGGAAATTTTTTGTGAACTTACAAATATCAATGAAACCTTCCTAACTATATTAGTTGTTAAGTCATAACAGTTTCATAGAGTTTATCTTTTTTCCTTAAGATTTGTGACCCTTTTCACTGTTTTAAAATAAAGCATTTTATTGATTATGATGTATATGAGATGAAGATTTTTTTTTCAAACAGTGCTTGTTTTATTTTTTTTTCATGTTAGTTACTATCTTCTGTGTACAGAAGTTATTCAAAAATTTAGTGGCTTAAAATAATATTTGTAGCTGGGCATGGTGGTGCATGCCTGTATTTCAGGCAGCCTCAGTGACTTACGCCCTAAGCAATTTAGCAAGATGCTGTCTGAAATAAAAAATGAAAAGGATTGGGGATGTGACTCAGTGGTTAAGTGCCCCTTAATTCAATCCCAATACTTTTTTTTTTTTTTTTTTTAAATCTCACAGTTCTTGTGGGTGGGAAGTAATCGGATATGGCCTTCCTGGATCCTGTGCTTTAAGGTTTCTCATGGTCAATCCCTTGGGGCTGTGGGACATAACTAGGGAGGATGCACTTCAAAGCTCACTAACATGGTTCTTGGTAGGGTTCAGCCCCTCCTGCATTGTTGGACTCAGTTCTATTCTGGCTGTTGGCCTGAGGCCTTTATCAGTTATGCCATGTAGGCCTGTCCATAGGGCAGCTTACTCTATGACACCTGGTTTCCATGAGAGAAAGCCAAGTGAGAAGACAGAAGCCAGAGTCCTTTCATACCCTAATCTTGGAATTGACATTTACCAAATGCTGTTCTTAAAGTGAGTCACTAGGTCCAGCCCACACTCAAAGGGAGGGAATTATATAAGGACATGAATATCAGGAAGTGGGTTTCTTTGAAGATCATCTTAGAGGCAGCCTACCACATGTTCCAAATTTTTATTTGATTCATGTTTGGTAGGTAGACTTTATGCTTGAAAAAACTGTTATCAAAAAAAAAAAAAAAGAAAAATTGTTATCACACCTCCCCTTCTCTGTTCTACTCCCCAGATGTGAAGAGAACATATGTGCAAAATAGTATATCTTCTATGGGTTTTTGATGATTTTACTCTTATTTACCTGTGCCTATAGCCAACGTCCAGTTATACCCTGTGTTTCAGACTTGCACATATCTTCTCTGGTGAAAGTTTTCAAGAAATGAGAACATTCAGTGCCTGTTTGTTAGAAGAATGAATACAGGTGTGAATGAGGAATTAATTTTCATTTTAAATAATCCTGCCAAGGGAATTTTAAAAGAAAGTGATTTTAAGCTGCGTCTTATCAAAGGACAACGAAGGGAATGGATTTTGTAGGTAACAAGAAATGCAGTCTCAAGAAGTTATAATATTCATGGTATGTTCTGGAATGGTGAAAAGTTCAGTAAGAATGGGGAAAAAGATCTTTTGTGAAGGAGTGTGGTTAATGCTGGAGAAGCAGGTTGAGGATAAATTGTTTTCCATGCTAAAGATTTAGGACCAAACTATGAGCCAGTGGAGCTCTTTAAGCAAAGAATGAGAATTTTACTAGATTAATGTTTTAGAAAGAGGAGTTCTGTGACTTCTTTGAAAAGGGACTGGCAGGAAGACCCTAAAGAGCATCCTAATCATGAAAGTTCATGAGAGTTGAACTAAGGCAATTGACAGTAATTCTGAAAGAAGATTCTAAAGATTCTTGGCATTTTGTTAAGAGACCTTCAGTTGTTTGAGACCTTCAGTTGTCTCCTAATATATTTTTTTTTCTATAGTAGTAGATTTGTTTGTCAAGAATTAAATAATATAGTAATTTCCTCTCTATATATAAACACTGTGACTAAGTTTTGATCATTAGGATGTTAACAAAACAATCTGCAACTTCCCAAATCATGCTCTTACAGGAAAAGAGTTTGAATTCTGAATTTTCTTTCTAAATTCTCACTGGCTGCAGAGTAGACTTGGCATTAAGCCATCTTAGACAATGTAGGAAGTTATAACCTAAGTCTAGATCTCTGAGGGCTTTTGGGGGCAAAGCCTCCAGCACCTGCTTTTAACAGGGAGAACTAAACTTTGTTGGGGTTAAGATATTATTATTTTGGGTTTCTATTATAGAGAGCCAAACCTGATTCCTTAATTATATTGGTAGGATAAGACTTAGGATTTTATACTAATGATAACAGACATATAGTTTGGAGGACCGAATGAATTGGAACCTAGTTAACTGGTATGAGGCTTGAGTGAGAAAATAATTTTGGATTTGCTGATTTTGAGAGGGAAAATATTTGGATGTACTGATTTTGAGATAGCTTCTATTATTTATTAATAATAATCTGCAAGACCATAAGGCCAGCTTTGATTTTGCTTGATTCACTGCCCACTCTCTTCCATGTGCAACTTCTACAAACTCTCACAAATATTCTGTGTTCCTCTACCCCTAGTCATTCTGTAACACAGATCTCCAGGCCTGAATCTTCTTGCTATCTGTATTCTCTGTACATATTTTTTCAGATGGAATGATTGAAAAGAAGAGTTTACTGCCCTGTTCATGCCTTTTTAATTGTCTTACATGGTTAGAACATATCATATCTGTTATCCCAGAAACAGACTGCTAGAATGATTATGTTTCTGACTCACTGTATTTCTATTACATTATTGTTAAAATTAATTTTACCAAAGAATTGCCTAGAGTCAATGTAACTGAGTATACATGCCATGTGTTCCTACATTTTAGCCTAAAGTACCAAAGGGAAGAAGTACAGGACGGGAAAAAAAAGTCATCCATCCATATAGTAGAAAAGCAGCTCAAATTACGAGAGAGGCCCACAAACAAGATAAGAAAGAAAAGTGAGTATCTTTTCATTATTTGTGTCCAAATTGTTCTATGTACAGTAGTATACTTTAATATCTAAAGGTCTCTTGAATGAGTTAAATATTTAGAGTATCAATAGTAGGAGGTATATGTTACCTACACGGTTTCTGAAAAGAAATGAACCTTTTATGTCACAATTCTTTTCAGATTTATGAAAAGTAATCACCTTGTTTTGAATTTTTTGAAATTTAAAAGATATTGCAGTAGTGCATTTTTTTTTTTTTAGGAAGTAAAATCACATTTTATTTATTTATTTTTTTTAACATTTTTATTTTTTATTTTTTTATTTTTTATTGTTGGTTGTTCAAAACATTACATAGTTCTTGACATATCATATTTCACACTTTGATTCAAGTGGGTTATGAACTCCCATTTTCACCCCGTATACAGATTGCAGAATCATATCAGTTACACATCCATTGATTTACATGTTGCCATACTAGTGTCTGTTCTGCTGCCTTTCCTATCCTCTACTATCCCCCCTCCCCTCCCCTCCCCTCCCCTCTTCTCTCTCTACCCCCTCTACTGTCATTCATTTCTCCTCCTTGTATTATTTTTCCCTTTCCCCTCACTTCCTCTTGTATGTAATTTTGTATACCCCTGAGGGTCTCCTTCCATTTCCATGCAATTTCCCTTTTCTATCCCTTTCCCTCCCACCTCTCATCCCTGTTTAATGTTAATCTTCTTCTCATGCTCTTCGTCCCTACTCTGTTCCCAGTTACTCTCCTTATATCAAAGAAGACATTTGGCATTTGTTTTTTAGGGATTGGCTAGATTCACTTAGCATAATCTGCTCTAATGCCATCCATTTCCCTGCAAATTCTATGATTTTGTCATTTTTTAATGCAGAGTAATACTCCATTGTGTATAAATGCCACATTTTTTTTATCCATTCATCTATTGAAGGGCATCTAGGTTGGTTCCACAGTCTTGCTATTGTGAATTGTGCTGCTATGAACATCGATGTAGCAGTGTCCCTGTAGCATGCTCTTTTTAGGTCTTTAGGGAATAGACTGAGAAGGGGAATAGCTGGGTCAAATGGTGGTTCCATTCCCAGCTTTCCAAGAAATCTCCATACTGCTTTCCAAATTGGCTGCACCAATTTGCAGTCCCACCAGCAATGTACATGTGTACCCTTTTCCCCACATCCTCGCCAGCACTTGTTGCTGTTTGACTTCATAATGGCTGCCAATCTTACTGGAGTGAGATGGTGATCTTGGTGGCAGCACTTTGATCTTTTGGAGTGTTCATTACTGTTTTGTGCATAAGTATTCTGCTTGTCACAAAACCCACCTGAACATCCATAATCCACTCAAATTTTCATTTATATTTTCAAAACTGATTCTGTAAGCTTTCTTTAGTTGTTGAAGAGCTAAAACAAAGTTTCTAAGAACTTTTTCCAGTAAGTTAAATAGAAGCATAGCATTCCATGTTTCTGTGTTAAAATTAATGTTTTCAGGTGTCAAAAAATTTTTCTTTGGATAGCTTTCTTGTTAGTTTTTGCAAATTTAAAAATTTGCTTTGTAAAATTTTTAACAAATATTTCTTTCCTTCCAAGGTTGAAGAATGAAAAGGCTTTACGTCTCAATCTTATTGGTAAATAAGATTACTTAAAATTAAATTACTTAAAATTCTGGCTATCGTGAATGTTTATCTTGTACTCTTTTTTTTTTTAATCTCCTAGTATTATACTGTTTTTATCAGTCTTTTTAAAATGAGACTTGAGTGAAACAAAACAAAATGAAGCAAATCATTAAATATTTAGAATAAACAATGTTTGTGATTCACCCAAAACTAGTTTGTGCTTATCTGTTGACTTATTTTAGAATTTTTGTTGTTTATCTTGCTGTTTGTTTATTTATTTTTAATAAAGCTTTATAGTTATAGAGAGTAGTTGGGTTTATCCCAACAAACTCATACATGCATGGAAATCAATTTTAGTTCATGATCCCTCTCTTTGCCCTTGCCTTTTCTTTCCTATCCTCCCTCACCTCTCCCATTCTCCTTCCTCTGTTCTATTAGACTTCCTTTAACTTGCCTATTTATTTATATTTGATTGATTCTTTTTACTTATGCATAAAGGTGAAATATCCTGTGGTATATTTATGTATGCACGTATCATGATTTTTTTTTAAAGAATTGATTCTGCATTGTCTCTCCTTACCCATCCCTCCACTCTACCTCTTGATCTTTTTCTTATGTATTACTAATCTTTTCTTTATCTTTGTTATCCTATCCTTCCCTCCTCCTTTCCTTTATTTTACTTTAGCTTCCACACATGAGAGAAAACATTTGACTTTTGAGTTTTTGAGTTTGGCTTATTTTACTTAGTATGATATTCTTCATTTTTATCCATTTACCAGCAAATGCCATAATTTCATTCTTTTTTGTGACTGAGTAGAACTCCATTTTTTTGAATAAATATGATTCACAGTTTCTTAATCCATTTGTCTATCAATGAGCATCTGGAATGATTCCATTATTTAGTTATTGTGAATTTGCTATAAACAATCTGGCTGTGTCAGTGTAGTATGCTGATTTTATATCTTTTGGGAAAATACCAAGGAGTGGGATAGTTGGGTCATTTGGTGGTTCCATACCTAGTTTTCTGAGTAATCTCCATACTGCTTTTTGCTTTTTAAATACTTAGAACTTCATAATCTATTAAATCTGCCTGCCTACCTGCCTGTCTTTCTGTGTGGCTTTCTGCCTGCTTGCCTTCTTTTCTGGTTTAATTTGTTTTGCGCCCACACAGAGCTTTATATTTAGTATTAAAATACATTTTGGTTCTCTTTGAAGCACATTGATGTTGAGAATATAATAAACCTCTTTGCTTAAATGATGACTTGTCATGCTAAAAAACTATGTTGTTATTTTTAATTTATAGGTGAAAAACTGCAGTGGTTTCAAAGTCATCTGGATCCCAAAAAATTGGGGTATTCAAAGAAAGATGCTTGTGAATTAGTTGAAAGGTAAACACTGAGCATATTATAAGCAAAGGGACAGAATAGGAGATTCTTTAACCTTATTCTTAGAGACAGAGCTCTGACCTGGGATTGTAGATAAGCAAATAGATGTTGTTATCAGAAAGACTTTAGATTTGTATCCTAGCTTGGCCCCTTTAGTAGGTTTGTAGTCTTTCTGGGCCTCAGAGTAATAGTCAGCCCTATTTCTTAGGATATTAGAGGTGTCATCTACCTTGGCACTCACAGATGGGAATTAATAGACCATCGTAAGGTGGTTTGAAAGGCTTCTAGCTCAAGAGGATAATATCTAAAAAGCCCAGAGGTGACAGCAAAGATGACACATGCAGTGACCTGCCAGACATTTTAACACTGAATGAAGTAAGAAGTTTAAGGAGGGAAGTGTGGTTGTTGTAATAAGTAACAACTGTCTTAGGAGAGACCTCATGTGTCCTAAGAGTTTGGACCTTATTTAAGAGCATTAGGAGGCATGGAGAGCTTTTACAGAAAGCACCTGAACTAAATTTCAGGAGGGTCACAGTTGTGAGAATAAGGTAATACAGAGAAGGACACGTGGCTTTGGTCAGGATGTAGGTAATCCAGTCAAAAGATGATAGTGGTGTCTGACTGGTATGATAAAGAGAAATGAAAAGATTCCAGAGATATGAAGAATGTGGAAATCTTAGTCTTTAGTGAAAACTTATATGTAGAATGAAAGGGAAAGAGGAGCCAAGCAGAAGGCCTGCATACTTTCCTTGGACAGCTATATGAATGATCATAACTGTTCCCTGAAGTAGGGAGCCCAAGAGATGGAGCAGGTAGTGGGTGATGGGCAGGGACAGGGTGATGACAAGTTTGGGGTTTTAAAAGTGAAGCTACTAGGGGACATCTAAATAGACCTGGACAATAGGTAGTTGAATATGAGAGGCCTTAGTTCAACAGATAATAGGCTGTGATTTGGTTGATGAAGTGAAGGATATGGTCAAGTTATCCAGGGAAAAGTTTAAAAGGTTTGAGAACATGAGGAACTCTGAGGAATGTAAAAATGTAAAGGACATCTGAAAGCTAGAGGTTAAGTTTTAAATGAACTAATATGAGCCCAAATAAACAGACTTTTTAAAAATTCACATCATTTTTATATTTTTATAGGTATTTAAATAGATTTAGCAGTGAGCTGGAGCAGATCGAGTTACATAACAGCATCAAGGACAGGCAGGGAAGGCGGCACTTTTCCCGGGAAACAGTTATCAAGCAGACGATGGAGCGGGAGAGACAGCAGTATGAAGGATATGGCCTTGGTGTGTGCTCTGTGCTTTTTCTTTCTAAAATAATAATGATATCAGATTGGTAATTTATTTCAAAGGTTGAATTTTATTTTTTCTATTGATTTAGTTTGATTTCCTTTTCTATGTGTATAGAATAATCTTTGGGTTTATTTTCCCCTGTATTCCCAACAAAACTCAATTGTGTGACAGTGACATACTGTCTTTCTAGTGTGATCATAGTGTTTTTCTTTCCTTTTCAGTGTGTACCTAATTTGTTTTGTTATAGGGGTGCTACTAGTCCATCTCCAGCTGTATCTAATTGGAATAGATACTATGTTCTTTTCATCTTCCAATTCTTGTTCCATCTAGCTCCACATTTAATCATCCTTGAACAACTTTAGAAATCAAAATTTGTTTCTTTGAATTGTATCCTGTCTAGTTAATTCATAAAGATCAGTATGTTATTACTTTGGTAACACTGTGGTCAGAAAATCACTTAGTAGAAGAAGATGCTAAGACTTGCAAAGCCACAAATTGGTGATTACCCAAAGGCTGCATGGCCGGAAAATAGTATTTAATTAGCTTATTAATTGTCATTTTTAAGTAGAGGGGGAATAATAGCTGATGATTTCAACTGGATAAATACAGATTTCTGACTTCTTTTTAAAAAAACAGATAATCTGGCAGCATCATCTGTGGGAGTAGATTAGCAGCTATCTCTCCTGGACCTTGGCATATATTTAAAAGTTTGCTGTGGCCCTCACCCTTACTTCGTAGGTCTTACCTGGTCCCACTAAGCATTTGTGTTACAAGGCTTTACTTGGAAGGTATATTAAGTGAAATATTTAATAGCAAAATTAAGTTTTTAAGTTTTCATGAAAACATAGGATACTAAGCAAATTGTTCTGTGGGTAATACTAGAAACTCTGCAGTGGGTGGCAGTCCTGTTTCATTCCTGAAAATTGAGTTTTATAACTGAAAAAGCAACAGAATTGCTGTAGAACTAGATAGAGCCAGACTTAAGTCCTTATAGCCAACTGTATAACAGCAGTCAAGTTATTTAACATGTTGTTAAGCCTCAAGTTAAAAATAGAACAGATAGTATTACCAACTTCCTAGGTTGTTCCAAAGTTAAGTAAGATTTAATTAATGAAAGTGACTGACATAGTACTTAATAAAAGAGAGGGTAGCAGAGAGCTTCAGATAGTCCTGTCTTTTTTTTTTTTTTTTTTTTTTAACTTAAGTAGATACCTTCTAAGACCATAGAATTGGACTCCATTTCCTTGTTTTTAATTTTCTTTTTTTAAAATTTCATTTATTTATTTAACTATACTGGGAATTGAGCCCAGTTTTGCTCTAACATTGAACTACATCCATAGCTTGTTTGTATTTTATTTTTTTAATTTGAGACAGCCATACCAAGTTGCTGAGACTATCCTTGAACTTGCCATTCTCCTGCCTCAGCCTATCAAGTCTCTGGGATTACATACGTACTCCACTATAACTGGCTTTTTTGGAATCTATTTTAACTTGACTTTGTCCCTACCACACAACCAAAAGTACCAGCAACTGATGACCTTCAGGTTGCTAAGACAAAATAGTTGTTGCACTGGACTTATATCAGCATTTGATGCAAAACAAAACTTATTTTTTTTGCATACTTTTTATCTGGTATAGAAGACCCTGAGCTTTTCTATTTCTCCCTAGGTGACTGGTCATGACTTTGCTAAGCTGAATCTCTTCATCCTAACCAACTAAAAGTTTCTTCATATCCAACTTACTTCTCGTTTCTATATACCCCATTTTTTAGTTAATCTCGTTTAGATCCATGAGTTTAAATCCCATCTAAATGCTGATAACTTCGATATACATATGGTCAACCCTATCTTGTCCCCAGATCTATCAAACTTGGATATTTCAAACTCTCTACTTGAAGGTCTTACAGGAATCTCAAAAAATGACATTAGAAAGCAAAAGCCTGCTTTTCTCCTAAAACTTATGCCTCCTACAAGTTCCACATTTTAATCATTGGTATCACCACTTGCCCAATTGCTCAGATTAGAAACTCTGAAGTCCATTTTCACAGTTCATATCCAACCCATTAGCAGAATATATTTTTAATCTTACGGCTTTTGCCTGTACTACCACCATCTCCCTAGTTCAAACTACCTTTATCTCCACTGTATAATTATTTACTCCCTTTTGGTCTCTGCTGCTAATCATTCCCCTTATAGTCTGTTCAATATGTGGCAGCTTGATTAATTAGCAGGAATTAGCAGAGTCCATCCAAGTAAAACAAATCCTGGTGATAGCGACAGTGCTAGAGCTTAGATCCAGTGCTCTTCTGACTATACCCCGTGCTTCTTCCAGAATCAGGGAGCATAGCTGGTGAAAGAAGCCTTGTGAATTCTGACTAGTTTGCAAGTGTGTAGAAACATGTGGACAGATTGTCTCCAGAAGTCTGTTTCATAAATTTTGAGAAGACCAAATATGAACACCTTTTCTCCCTTTGCTCCCTGGTAATGTAACTGTTTCTGACTCATTTTATTAGGATCCTGTTTTTTAAAAATTAATTTACACCTAACACCTAGTCCCTCATCCTCTTTACTTTCTGAAAATGTTATAAAAGACAATGTACAGTTGTATCAAACATTTTGGTTTTTATCTTTCTGTTAATTGATACTGCATTTATTTAATATTTTATTACATTGGCTAGATGGGCATTTCAGCAATAAGAGTGAATACGTATTAATTTATGATAGCTTTATAATCATGGTAAAGAACTTCCACACATCTAGTTTTTATTAAAAATGGATTTAAGTTTTATTGACCTTTTTTGAGCATCTATTGGTTATAGCTTTTCAAACTGTTTTTTATTTTAAATGATGTCCTATTTTAATACTAAATAGTCTTTGCTTTCCTTAGAGAAACTCTACCATGTCATGATTAAGTATGTACTTGAAAAAATTATACTTTTCACCAAGAAAAAAATATAAAACATTTCAGCATATTGTTCATAATAGTTTAGTTTAATTTCATAAATTATGTGTTAGGATCTATTACTTAATATTATTCTTCTTAAATCACCTTAAACTAAACTATACTTGCCAGACTTTTTAAGTTAATTATAACAGCGTTTTAAAATTGTGTTTTCCTTTGGATATTCTTGGTATCAATTATTATTTGTTGCATTTGATATAATAAATGAAAAAACTAAAAAATGATGTAATTAAGAGAGAAAATGTCTAATGGCTATAAATTGTTTACTTTTCCAGAGATCCCAGACATTTTAAATGCAAGCAATCTGAAAATTTTTAGGTGAGTGTCTCTTTTATTGTTCCCTGGAAGCTGTATGTAAAATACATGCGACATAACTTCTTCCTTTTCAATTCTAGACATTAGCAATAAAAGAAAATCATATTTCTTTTTATTAATATTTTCTGTATTTTGTATTTATTTGAAACGTGATATATGCTAAAGTGATAATGACTTTTTCATAATAATTTAATACTTGATGGCTCAGAGTCAGATTCTGAAACTATTTTACCACCTTCTTTTGGAGAGAAGATAGATACTTAATAGAAAATGATGCCAGAGGTCTTTCTAATTGTACCCCTTGTGGTAACCAGGGAGAGTGCTAAGTAGGGTTTTAAGTTTTTAATTCTCAAACAGATTCTCTGTCTTTTGAAAATGCTGTTGATTAATCATTTTGATCTTGATTAGCTTAGATTGATGGGCCTGAAATTTTTTGTTAATTGAAATGGATAAATTTAAATCCAGGCAAAATCAAATCTAAAATATGCTCCTTATTTCTGAAACAATGTTTGTTCTGCTTCTTCCAAAGAAAATCATAAATGAAAGAAAAGATGAACATAGTTTGTTAGCATTGCTGGTAGAGTTCAGTTCTTGAAACAGTCCTCATATTGCTCCTAAAGTAATTGAACATAGAATTGTCATAGAAATTACTGAGGTTGAAAAATAGAAAGGTTTCTTTTTCTTTTTTTTTTTTTTTACATTCTGCTTTAGCACTATTTTTTTAACCTTTATTATTTATTTATTTATAGGAGTGCTGAGAATCAAACCCAGTTCCTCACACATGCTAGTTAAGCTTTCTACCACTGAGCCACAACCTCAGCCCTGAAAATTTTCTCTTAATAACAGTTATTTGATTACTGATTGTTAACTGTAATATATCACATGAAAAGAAAAACCTATATGGTGTCTATTTGAGAGAGTTGCCAGGGATGACATAGTTTCTGCTTTTGAGATCTTAAGTCGTGTAGCCTGAGGAAGGTTGGTGGGAAAGTTAGTTTAAGGTGAATAAAGGAATGGAATAGAGCCTTCTTGTAACTTCTAATATTTTGCTGTTTGCTTTTGGTGTTTTGAATATGTGGGATTCCCTAGGCAGGCGTTGCTACTATAGATGAATGAGAAAATGGAAAAGGCAAGCCTCGTTTCTTGTATGTTGTTTTTTTCCTTGTTCATTTATATTGGTTCTTCCTAGTATACTTGAAATCTGTTGTAAATTTATACACTTTTTTCAGTTATTTTCTGGGTTTTTGAAAATTGACTGTCTCCTTTTCACTTCAACTTCTGCCAACACTCTATATTCTTTCTTTTGTCTAGGGAATGGGATTTTGATCTGAAGAAATTGCCAAACATTAAAATGAGAAAACTCTGTGCTAATGATGCAGTTCCTAAGAAGAGGAAGAGGAAAACTATTTTAACTATAGACAAAAATTTAGAGGAATTGGAACTAAAAGGTGAATCAAATGACTCAGATGAAGAAATGACTCCAGTAGCCTGATTGTCTTGAGTTGAAAATAATTTGAGAGCTTCAAATTACACACACATTAATTATGTAAATAATTATCTAGACATAAGAATTTGCTATTGAACTCATTTTTTTTATAATGAGAGTCCTATTTGCAGTTTAAAATATGGTGTTATGATTTTTATTTAAAAATGAAGGTTGCATTTCATTTATATTAAGTTGCTAAAATAGATAAAAGTTGTATTAATCTGTTTTTAGTTGCTATAATGAAATACTCAAGGTTAGGTTACTTATTTAGAAAATACATTTATTTAGCTCATGATTTTGGAGGCTGAAAGTCCACAAGTACTGGCTCTGGTAAGGGCCTCTGGCTATGTCACTTCACAGTGGATGACATCACAATCCATGCAGGAGGGTGTGACAGAAGGTAGTGAGACAGAACACCAGAGAATGGGGAGGGGCCAGTAATGACCTCTCACTAGGCCCATCTCTTAAAGGTACTACCACCACCTCTTAACATTGCCACACTAGGCACCACGCTTCTATTATGTGAGCTCTTGAGGGAGACATCCAAAAGTGATCTTTTAAAGACATTTAATCCGAACTTTGTGCAGAGGAAAAGTACTGTGTGAGGACAAAATGTGTTTTGAATTTTTTTCCTTATGTGGATTTAGGATTGCCTAATCTCCCAAATGGGGTGAATGTTCAGTAATCTGTTTTCCAAGAGATTCCTGTGGACATTTCTTAAGTTATGATAATAACAAAATTGTGTTAAACCAATTCTTCTCTTAAACATTAAACCTATTTTTTTTCCTTACAAATAGGGAAGAATTTGATAGTGAAGTCATATTCACCAATAGATTATACATTATCATTTATTTTTTTCTGAGCCATAGGTAAAGGTTAGAAACAGAAGAGTCTGTCTCTGTGGTTATATTGATCCCTACACTTAATCTGTTATCTTTTGACAAAGAGAATAAATGATTCAGGCTTGCTCCTTTTCATTATATATTATTTTTTGCTTTCTCATTGTGAAAAGTGATGTTTCTAAAAGGTTAAATTGACGTATAAGAGTATTTCAAGTGGCATGAAAAACATGGACATATTAGAATTTAGTTATAACAATTGTTAAACATAAGTATCCTTTAGTGTACTTTTTAAAGGATGTGATATAAATATATTTATTTTCAAGAAAAGGAAAACAGTGTATGTGGTTAACTTAATATCAACTGTCTTATTAGCAGTTTATATGAAGTGTTATAACTTTTTTACTTCTGAAAATTAAAAATAAAATTTAATTCAAAAATGTCACCTTAAAATTCGAATTATTTTTTAGTATGTAATTGATGTCGATTAATTTCAGTAATCTTCATGAAAATGATTTGTGATTATAATTTTTGGAAATTTTTTTTTTTTTTTTTTTTTTTTTTTTTTGGTTCATGTACAGTCTCAAAATATTTGTGAAAACTTAGTCATGAACTGCAGTGAATAGTTTAAAAACTATTTAAAAGTCCACTCTGTTAGAATAAGAATCTGTTGATGAATGAATGCAACAAAACATGTCACTTGGACAAAGTAGCCTGCATCAACTCATCTTTAGAGTGGTGTTTTTAATCCTTGTCTGGAGAACATGTTTTGTAAAAGTGATAACTTTTGTTTCCTTCATGGAGACCACTTTTAGGTCAGTAGCATATGTTTCTAAGAGAGCTTCCACAATCCATAACTATGGAACACAGTAAAGGTAACTTGCTTTGTATGTTCTGCCACCCTTTAAAAATGTAAAAACCATTCTTAATTCACGAACAAAGTGGGCCAAAAGCTGGATTGATTTGTTGGTCATTGTTTGCTGATCCTTGTTTTTTTAGTTTTGTTAGGTGCAGGACAGGCTGAATAAATTGTCTGCAGTTAGCTGCAGGATGACCTGGCCACTCAAACCCTCTGTCTGATTCTTTATCACCTGTTTGCTTCAAGCCCAAATGCCCAAGCTCCCGCTCAAGGCTGAACACTTAACCCCCCTTGTGCCAACAAGGCAGCTTGCAGACCCAGAGACCCCATTAGATTTGGGCTATAAAAACTCCTTCCTGCCAGGCCCCGCTTTCTTGCTCTCTCTCTTGCGTGTGCGCTTGCGCTCTCTCTCTCTCTCTCTCTCTCTCTCTCTCTCTCTCTCTCTCTCTCCCTCTCTCTCTCTCCTCCTCCTCTTTTTCACTGATGCAGTAAAGATCTCTTGGTTGTTGTGGTCACTTTCCTTTCAAGTTTTAGGATACATTTCTAAGTTTAGAGCTGCTAACTCTGACATTTTTGCTCTTTTCCTAACATTGTAGTCACTTCCTTGCTTGGCTGAAACATTCCCTTTAGAACCTTGTTCACCTCTGATAGAAGCTTTTCCTGTTCTTATATCACCTATGCTTCAGGGCTAGGAGATTGGGTAAGTCCTTTTTACTCTACTGTGTCTTCAAAAAAATTTTTCTCCTTTAATTTTCAACCCAGAAATCTTTCTGTAAGTCTTCCTTGATTTTTCCCTTTCTTTGCTATGTCCTCCTATGATCTTATTTAATTAGCAAGTATTATTGGTTCTATTTCCAAAATTAAAGTCAAATTGGTTCATGTCTGACTGTCTCCCCTATGACTTGCTATAATACAGGCAATGACTTCCTAACTGACCTTCCTGCCACCATCCCTGCTCCTCTGCTGGCACCCTGATGACTTCACATGTATCCACTTATTCCTCTTAGGCTAGGCTTTGTCACAGCTGACTTTCATCTTGGAAGAATGTCCTGTGATCTTTATAAGAGAGCTTCCACAATCCATAGCCAGAGGATATAGTTTGGCCTCATATTCTGGGTTCTGTGGAAGCCTCAGAATTTCCATCTCAAGTCCCTTTGGAATACAGCTGCAGGCTATAAAACTACTTAACTGCAGCAGGGAAGGGGACGCCCTACCCTTATGTTGCATTATCATGTCATCTGGCTGCTTTTCTGTTTGTGTCCTCCTGTGGGACAAGTATAGAGAGATGGTACCTTTGTCCATCTTTTACCAGCTTTGTAATTAAATTTTCTAGTGAGAGCTTGTTTCCTTACTGTGTGAATCTGTCCATCTTGCTTAACATTTCCCACTCAGGACTTCAATCCTTGTTCCCTCTGGCTGCATTAGTGGCACATGCCAGTAATCCCAGTGGCTCAGGAGGCTGAGACAGTAGGATCCAGAGTTCAAAGCCAGTCTCGTGAGTGTTTTCTCATCCTTGAGGTCTGAACCTAAAGGTTACATCTACCTGCTCAAGTATCTCTACCCTCACACCCTTGCTATTCCTTGAAAATCCCTGTGCCATCACACAGGTTAGGATCATTAGTTAGTTGAAACACAATGACAGTGGTTAGTGATCTGGGTGTGTCTGCTGTAATTCTGGGTGGTGGGGGAAGCCCATGAGTTCATATATCCAGTTTGGGAACTCATACTTCTGTATTAGTTCTGCCCAAGTAGAAAGTCCTATAGAGGCATTAGGCCAAGATAGCTATTTACCCTGAATTCAGGCATCTAAATTGAGGCTTTAGAAAGAGACATTTTCTTTGCTGTTATCAAATCTCCACCCCAGGATTACATTCCAATGTCTTTGGCTTACTGTTCTTTAGCCACAGAATATCTGAATCCACTCAAATCTCTGAAAATATAGTCTTTATCTAAATCTTAGTCATGGGAAAATCCTATAGATTACATTGTGATATTTTTTTACATTTTTAAAAAAATGTTTTGAAAGTATATTTTTATTGGTTAATGCACCTTTTTATTTTCCTACAATGTCAAAGTTTTGTCAGTATAATTTGTTTTAAAATGATTATATCTAGACCCTGCCTAAAAACACAGAGCATTGTAACAACACCACAATTTTGAAAATTGAAGGGTTTCGAGTGTTGGAAATAGAAATCTGTATAGATCCCAGTATGTTAGGCAAAAAGTAGAGAAGCTACAATCAAAATTGGAATCACTTGTTTAATATACAAAGTCTTTCACAGATCTTTATTTTCTTTTCCTTAGTTTGTCTTAGTACACATTATTCACAAACAGTATATTGTTAATGAAAGAGAATTAGGTAAAACTAAAAAAAGTACAAATGCCCAATCTCAAAAATTGCACACAGTTAAAATAATTTTTCTTCTTTGTTTCAATGCAATATCCAATTTCAAGGTGGGCTTTCTTTAGATGTGGAGGAAACACTGCAGCCCAAAATAACAGTACTTCCTTTCAACTCTTGATATGTAAAATAGCACCATTGGGCTGATTTGAGGAAAGAAAAAAGGTTTTCATCTTTCTTAATTAAAATGTAATCCTTACACAGTTATTATATAATAACTACAATAGTAATGATAATAAATTTTAAGACCTCTACTTTGTTCCAAAAAAATCGTTGTCAAGGCAAGGAAAGATAAATTAAATCTAGCGGATGGAATGATGACCTTCCTGCCCCATGACCATTACCATTATAATTTCTCTTAATGATGTCATTGAGCTAATGAGCTAATTTTCCAGCCAAAGAATAGATGTTTTAAGAGTACCAAAGGACCTTTTGTAAAACAAGAAGTACAATCAAGGCCATCTTTCTAGGATCATAATTTCATGTAACAGCAGCTCCTACTGAGATGTAATGCTGGGGCATTTTGAGAAAGATTCCTTCAATTTCTGCATTGCTGTCCCACATCCTTGGGATCACTTATATTTTAATTTTGTTAAAAAGAAATCTTGTCTTGTTTGTTTTTGTTCCTAAACTTAATTGCCTTTTGGGCTTCACTTTTTAAAAGTTGGAATTTCATTTCTTTACTGCTTTAATCTTTAATCCTATACAATGAAGGTGACAGTTCTTTAGTTGAGAAATTAACAGCCTCAACAGGCAGGATGGCACATGCCAATAATCCCAGTGGCTCAGGAGGCTGAGACAGTAGGATCCAGAGTTCAAAGCCAGTCTCAGAAATGCTGGGTGAGGTGCTAAACACTCAGTTTGACCCTGATTCTAAATAAAATACAAAATACGGCTGATGTGGCTCAGTGGTCGAATATGCCCCTGAGTTCAATCCCTGGTACTGGGGAGTGGGGGGGCAGTAGCCTCAATGTTTGTAGTTCATGGTATCACAAATTTGGGTCATAATTATAAAAAGCCAAAGTTTTAAACAGCTGTAGGTTCATTCTTCAATTTCCGTTCTTTGCTTGAATTCCATTTTGTTTCTGACATGAGCAGGTAAACATGCCTCAAAAAATTGTCATTGCATAGCTCATTTTTTCTTTTTGAGAGATAAATCAGTTCACCGAAAAAGCACTGCCACAAAGCCAAATATTTTCAGTGATGAAAGGAAAAAGGTACCATTGCCATAAGGAATGTAAATGAATCAACATTAGGTTTTGAGTGAATGTAGTTGTTCCAAATCAGGTGAACCACAAACATCCATTGCAGGAAAGCTTTTTAATGAAACTTTTCTGCAATGAATTTTTTAAAATGAAATTCAGGTTAGGATTTTGAAAGGTCAGAAGAATAACAGAATTAAATGTTGACTTTTATCCTGTTAGGGAGCTTTATTATTTTCTCATTTCAATAAAATCAAGACCTAAGAAAGTTAATTTTGAGACTTTGGGCACAGTTTTAAAACCATTTCATCTTTTATCACTAATATAGCAAAGCTTGTCTTAGCTTTTTAGAAATGTTTCTTAGTGTTAAATGTAACCCTTGATAAGTAAGGTTTTATTTTAGCCAATCATCTCCCACTGTGCAAAGATATACTCTTATCTATTTTGGATTTAAAACAGTATTTTCCCTGGTAATTAAGGTAAATAATGCTTTTCTTTCAGAGCAAACAAAAGAGGAATCAATATTTCTTTGTTTGTTGGAGATGAGATTTTCTCCCATGAAATATTTGCAAGCAACATATTGCCCTTGCTAAACCATAGAGAAATGGATTAAGCAAATTAACAGGAAAATATGATCAAGGTTAATTCCTTGGGTGTGGTGCTATGATTAAATCACCCAATCTTTGTTATTTTTAGTACATTTATCTTCACACTTTATAGGGGAAGTTAATGCAAAGTTTAGTTTGTTTAAGGTTCACTGAAGTCATTCCTGCTGTAGTTTTGGTCCAGTTTAATAACCTCCACTTTGTTTTCCTTGTGCCTTTACTCCATCCCCTAAAAGTTTTAAGAAAGATGAGTTTTAAACCTTTTGTTTCCTGACTGAATACCTTAACATTTTTCTCACATATATACATGAATACACACATGCCACACACACAAAATCAACATTGTTTACCTTTTCTTTATTTCTAGGAATGTGGCTATTTGGACTCCATATCAGCCACTACTAATATCCATACTTTCTCCTCTTTTTAAAAGGTTATTTTTTTTCCTTTGATAATCTGTGAAGAACAAGCACACTGATAATTACAAAGTGCATTGATGTGATACCCAGATTTGTGCAATGTGATACCCATGCTTTGGTTCTTATGGCCATCTCTGCCTTTTCACAATAATAAATATGACAGCTAATAAAAATCACTTTTTTACTAGGCCATCTTTCTTTGACAGGTCACTATGCTTGTAATTATTAATCTAGCTCTCTGCAATATCATTCACACTTCAGTTTTATATGAGTATTTAAAGAATGCAATAATCAACTGTCAAACCTAAACAACTCAATTTATTACTTACCATAGAATCTGTTGAATGTTTTTGCTTCTGAACTGTCAAGGAATATATTGTCAACTTTTTAAAATAAGATCTAGTTTGTGGCTGTAACTACTTATCAGTCAAGTTGACACTCATATGGAGTAAGAAAAACACTTTTGATTTAATAACAAAAATACTTAATTTTTATTTCCCTATTGTAGTTGCTTCATTGTAGCAAAAGAAGTTAATCTCACAATTTTGCTACAAGCAGATTGCTTTTTTAAAAAATTTAGTTTTCTTAGAGAAATGGCAACTTCATCTAATTCTTCAAACTAGGACACTTAATTTGATTAATTTAGTGCTTTGTAAAATCATGACCCTTCAATGAAACTTGAAGATAAAGGAATAAATTAAGCTTTTATTTTGAAATATTCAGCCATTAAATAAAGTAGAGCCTTAGTCTCTAATTAGGGCCATGCTATCCAATTTAGTTCATTCAAACAGGTGTGTTGTGAAATGCATACTGGATTTTGAAGACTTTATAAAAAAAATATGACTGTTTCAATAATGTTTTACATTGATAGCATATGGTATTAAATTATAAAAATTAATTTCACCTATTTTTATAAAGGGGCTACCTGTAAATTTAAAATTTGCATTTGTGCTTTCGTTTGTAGTTCGAGTTGTATTTCTGTTGGACAGCACTGTATTAGAGGGGCCAGGTAAAATATAGGACCCGTTAGACGATTTCAACTTTTGTGGGCATTTAAAAGAGCTAATTTCACCCAATAATCTTATGAAAATCTTTTGTTCATGATTCAAACATAGTTCCAAGTATTACTATCTTCAAATGTGTATTGCATCCATTTTTATAACATGCATCTGTCAAAATAACCAGACTTCACTATTGCCATAAAAATCTGTCAGCTGTCAAAGAATATCAAAATATGCATCCTCCAAGTTTGCTTCCAGTATGACAGGAATAATGCAGACAATTTCAGGCTTAAAACCAGATGTGTTTATCCAGATGAGATAGCTAACATTACAAGACCCTTAGAAGAAACACATGTTACAAGTCAAGTCTATATTCTTGAACTTTTCCCCTGCTACTACGAAGAGTATCATGTGTCCATTTAATTTGTCATTGCCTAAAAGCATTCCGGTACCAACAGTTCTGTATTGTCTTAGAAGTCATTCTCTAGCCATCTTCACATTTCCATATCACACTTCAGGCTCGCTTCCTGGTGTCCTGCTCATTTGATGTTTTTTCCTTCTGTCCTTTTTGAGCAAAGTAAGGAAAAATGAGTCAGTAGGAGCAAGGAGCCGATAAAGGAAGTGAGTAATGCAGGATCGCTTCAGTCAATTGTTGTGGCTGAGGCTAGAAAGATGGTCTTCTGAGAAGAAACTGTCAACTGGTTCCGTCAAACTGGTATGACTTCTGGGGGACCGCTCTCTGCAGATGGCAGTGAATTTGTACCCGTTTGTGATACTGGCACCACCACAGCCTCCTTGGTGTCCGTGTTTACGTTACACGAGAAGTTCTTCTCCAGCTTATTGGCAGTGTCTGGGCAATTTTGCACAAAGATCACACGGTTGTAGGCCTTCAGCCTGCGCCACAATTGGACATAGACTTTACACTGTACATACATGAAGACGAGACCTCCTGTGAAGCCAATGGCCACCACAACCAGTTTTGTCCAAAATGGCCATTCAAGGACACCTTTGAAATAAAAAGAGAATGTTATTACCAAGTTGTCATTAATGGTTTTGGGTATTTTTTACTTTGGGCCCCCTTCAGAAGACCAGATCTACTTGCTAAATTATGTTAATAGAAATATTTTTAATAACTAGGAAGATTCGTAACCTAATTGGCTTAATTGCTTTCAAATATTCTAAATATACAGCTAAAATTGCATATGAAGAAATATTCTCACCTATTGTTGCAGTGACCTCTTGCATCCAATATCTGCTCTAATCATCAGATACTGTGTTAGACATTGGGCACTGTGACGTTTATTCCTTATAGCTAAATCTTAAAGGAAGGATCATGAACACACTGAAAGGATCAGAGTTTAAATCCTTTTAAGAAGGTGAAATAATGGATATACGTGTAGGCTTATGCAGACTAATCTCCCTACATGCATTCCCTGTGAGAGAAGCCTGCCATATCCTTCTCACTAAAGAGACAGAATTTCTGAGGACAGTCATGCAAAGGACCTAAGGTTTTCATTGCTTGTTTCATAAATTTTTGTATTTTGTCACAAAGAACCATAGCTTGGATGTGGTGGCACACGTCTGTTATCCCAGAGACCCAGGAGGTTAAAGCAGGAGGGTCACAAGTTTGAACCCAGTCCCAGTAATTTAGTGACCCCCCCCCCCCCCGAGCCATAAAAGGTTGGGGAGCGGGTGCTAGGAAGGTAGCTCAGTGGTCAAGTGTCTCTGGGTTTAGTTCCCAGTACCAAAAAAAAAAAAAAAATCCTAGATATGTGTATTTTCTTCTAAATTCCCATAGCATTACTAGATACAAGCTTTCTTTCACAAAGAAAGTTTTTACAACAGTGAGTATATGGCCACACCAGGATGGTGTGGGGGACATATTTGCTATAATGAAAAATAGTCAAGTGAAAGTGTGGCTCTGTAGAGAAGGACAGTAAAAGTAGATAGAAACCACAGCAAGTCTATGGTTCTATGTTTTTTATAAAAGTGAATGAGATTTCTACCTTTTGTTAATAGTGACATTCGCTTTATGCTTCTGAAAGCAAAATGGACAGTACCTCTTTTCTATCACAACGAAGCACTTTATATCCTAAGACTATCTAGAAGTAACAGGGTGTCCTGCCAATTCCTGGTCCCAAATATGAAATATGGAACATTTGTATGCCCAGACTCCACAGCAAAGACAATGTTATTCTTGATGTTTACATAGTTAATATTGCAAGTATTGTCAAACTCTTACAGACATGATAATCATGTGATAAGATTTTAGTTTTCCATTGTGAAAAAAGCTAATGCAAACTTAATAATCATAGTAACTTTTTCATATTTTTAAATTCTTACTTTTCCTATTTTTCCATATTTTCTTTTAAATACCTGTTGTGTTTGTCATTTGGCAAAATAGTCTTTCTGAAGTCTGGACTCATTTCAACCTTTCCAACATTTTTTTTTTCTTAAAATGTTTGCCTCTAACTCTTTTGGAAGAGAATTGGAAATTTTGGAAGAAATGCTCTCTGAATTTAAAAGTTCTGTACTGACATAAAAAACCTCTCACTATTGTTGATGTTTTATTCATTTGTGGCTCTGTTTAGCACTGTTGACCTAAAATGAATTTTTATGCTTCTTTCAGTATCAAATCTGAAACTTAATTTTGCAATGGATCAAATATATTCAAAAGAATTTATTCGAACCTTCATGGCTAGCAAAGATAAATGTTTTCTCTAACTTCTGATTTGCAAGGACTTCCTTTTGATTTAACCAACTCATGGTGTCAGCATCCTGAACATATCCTTGATCCCAGTGGAAATAACACTTCAAAATATCATTTGTCAAAGCTCACACAAGTAGAAAATGGGTAATAATAAGTCTATATCAAAGAAATCAAAATCAACAATTGGTAACCTTTCAAAGCAGAAAGAACTAGACCCAGATAGTTTTATTAATGTATTCCTCCAAACATTTTTCTACAAATCTAACCTTATTCTAAAATAGTTTGTTATAAAAAGAATGTATATCACTAGGGTTAGTTCCATGAATTCAAGCCTGTCTAGGACAGACTAAAATCTCATAGTGAGATGACTTTGTCACCATTTAAGTATTTGGAAGTTGTAATGTATGTGTATTTATAGAAACTATCTCACCCAAACACCTCATATCTTGAAACTATGCCCAATTTTGTTCCTAAAATTTGCTGTGATCAAATATCTCTGTTTTATACTTGTGTTCAGAAGCCTGATTTCTGTCACCCGAAGCCTTTTTTTAGTAAACTTTACCTAAAATCCTATCTGTGTAGCTATTTCCCAAACATCCCATTTTCTAACACAGATCCATGCTTTATCATATGCTCTTCCGTCTGTCCTCTTTACAGTAAACTACTAATTCTTCAGAACCCACCCCAGGGAGAGAAGAGTGCAGTCTCTTTCATGAGACTGGCAAACATAAATTCATGTCCTAATTAGTGGCAACACTATCCTCCTAATTGCTGTCATAGCTTAATGGTCCCTAACACCCCAGTCTAGGTCAGCCTCTGAAGTTGGCACACAAAGCAAAATCTCTTTGCCATTGAGGCTCAGGAGAAGCAAACACATTCTCAAAATGTTGCAAATTGTTTGTATAGAAACTTTCCGAATGTTAACTGGTTAAATTTACTTTAGAGTAAAATGGAATTATTCTGAATATAAAATTAGGACAGACACTGGAGTTTTCATGTCTTTCCCTACTTGAGTCAGAACCTTGGAAAACTAATTAAGGTATAATGGCAGTCAACTTTTTAAAGGAACAGAGATCAATTATCAATGCATTTACTTAACAGAAGATGCTATTTTTAGAAAACAAATTGGCAAGAAAAAAACAAAACCCCAAAAACAAAAAAACAGAACTTTTGATTTTAGAAACTCCAGAGTACAAAAATGGACTATCTCAGACATTTGGCAGTATTTTGTTGGTCACATACTGTTTCCATTGTCCCACAGCTAATCTTTGATTTTAAGGATAGTGATTTTCACATTGGAGGTCTGCTACCTGGGTTTTATTTCTATAAGCTGATGTATTTGCTATCACGTGTGTTGAGTGACAGCACTGGTCTTATCTAAGTGATAATAATGATACTGTATCATGTGTTCTAATGCCCTCCAGAAACCTTTTCATTGAGGGATGGAAAAACAGAAGAAATTTTAAAAATTGGGGTATACAAATGTTTTGTATTTATTCATGAATTTCCCAATGTGCTTATTACAGACTTCTTGAATTGTGCCCTATCTGGTAGCATCAGTCCCTCATCTAAAGATTTCACTCCACTTTTCATAATGGACCACATAATCTGTACTTGAAACATATTCCTACATTTGTTTATTTATTTTTGTAGCAATTGCTTATTGTTGTACATTTCAAGAGATCAACTTCTTTATGAAATACAAAATTGTTTAGGTTAAAAAATAGATATTGCTCAATTCTTGATTTTTTTATTTTTAGTATTCCAGCAAAAAAATGAACTAAAAATGCAAAGTTCAAGACCTTTAGAGTCCGTCTATTTCAATTCTCCCATCTTCCTTTTTCTGCTATTTAATGCTAATGTGGAGACCAAGACCCAATGATCTTGATCTAGTAACCTATGATAGTATTGAAATTTGGTTTGCATATTACATAGAAATAGCAATTAACTTGCTATTTTTATTTAAAATATTTTAAGTCAAAGCCTTTATAAATGATTTTAGGAGAAATTCTGACAAATAAGCATATGGGATAATTTTAATATTCACAAATAAATGGTAGCACACATTTAGGGATGGCTGGATCTGAGGGCTGTTCTTACTGAATGCTAAGGAATACAGTGGTATCAAAATGTAGTTAAAAATAAAAAGAGTTGAATTCCTCTCTATGTAGAGTCCTTGTGTTTGGAGTGCAGAAGGGCTTTTTTAGCTCCTTTCTTAGTTCTCTCCATCTGCATGAGAGGAACCATCATCTGGCATGCCACCTCAGTGTCAACTATAAGTTTTCAACCATGGCTAGTTTTGTCCCCTAGGGGACATATGGGAATGTCAAGAGACATTGCTTACTGTCATACCTGGAGTTGGGTTGGGGTGCTACTGATCCTTAGTAAATAGAAGCCACAGACTGAATGTCCCACAATGCATAATACAGCCACCCTCCGTCCCTGCCCCCACCAACAAATATTCAGTCCAAAATGTCAGTAGTGCTCAGGGTGAATATCCCTGTGGTAAAAAAGACAATCACTGAAGATTCTTATTAGGTAATTTGCAGGGAGGATTCAGTATACAAGTAAAACATCTTGGAGTTCTCCAAATTTAGGACTTTTGCTATAAGCTATTATTTTAAGCAGTAGTTTCTGTGTTTAGAAAGCTTTTAGCCACAGACTGGAGATGAAGTGTGCTTTATCTCCCATTTTTTAGGGAAATCCCCATGGATTACATCCAACTTTCCCTTCTGTTTGCTAAATCAAACTACCAGCTGTTCCTCATAAAAGCCTGGAGATTTTCCACTCCTGAGCTTTTCTCCATGATATTTCTTTTCTTTGGATTTTGCTTCCCAACTTCTGCATGTCTCCTGCCCCACAACCCAACTCAGAAGTAATTCCTAGCTGAAAATGAACTTTCCCAGTGTCCCAGTTCCAAGTTATTTCTCTGCTTGTGGAATGAGTCCACTTTCTCTTGCAACTGTTTTAACCTCGCTATCCTATAATCTTGACAAATACAGAATTTGTCCGGTTGGTCTTTGTTTTCCATAGTGCCTTGCTCAGTAGATATTTTAGAGATGAATGAAGATTTTACAGCTTCTCTTCTCAGTGAATCTCTGCTTTTGTTGGTAGACAATCTCAAGAACTCTCCTCATGCCCCTCCTCTCCTTCTGGAACTAGTGACCCAAATCCATAATTTACCAGTAGGTCTGAGCCAGGAGTAATCAGCTGTCATTTTTTCTGCCTGTACTGGGAAATTTTGTGTGATTCCTCCCCTTTCTTTTACAAAGTAGCTATGAATCAGTCTCCTCTGC